AGAGTGTGAATCCTAAAAGAGAGGACCATAACGATCTTATTAAAGGCTTTTTCAAAATCCTAAGTAAAGATGTAATTATTCATGTTGCTAAATCCAGAGGGAGCATACCTCATGTCTGTCTTGTTTAGCTGTGTATGAAGTCAGTGGTTCCCTTAGCGAGTCATAAATGTCATGGTAGCGACTTTAGATTCTTGTCACAATATTAAGCCAGTGTTTTCTAGTGGCTCAACACAAAGGGTTGTACTTTGGTACATGATTTTGTAAAGAGGCAGTTTCACTCATGTGTGAGGTGACATGCAATACACCATAAATCTGAGCTTGTTTGAGAATCCTGCCCTGTAAAGTACTGTCTTGAGTTTTATGCATAACAATGCCTCCACGTACAAGGCAACACACAATACTACTTGTTAAAAACAGCCAAACCTGCTCCCAGTTCACTGAGATTATTAGATTATAACCTAAAATTATACCATTGACAGCCCTTTGAAAAACAGCTGCATTGTAACTCTGGGATTTGGAAGTTGTGCATCAACAAGAAACTGATTCTGGAAAAATAAACTGTTGCAGCAACCAGAGGAAACCGAGTGATCACCATGCATTCTGATAATGTGTCATTGGAGACCAGGCTTGGGTTAAGAATTAACGCTGTTAACAGAAATACACTAGAGAAGTGGCTTGAAATGGATGTTAAGATGCACAATACTGAAGCTATAGCATAGAGCATTCTTTAGCCCAGGTTATTGTCTTGCTGGTGAAGTAAATGTCCTATGTTTTTTTTTTTGTTTAAAGTTCTTTCTAAACGCTTGCTGCTGTAGCACAAAAACAATGAGGAGCTGAAACCATCAGAGAAAACTGCAGATCGAGTGCAATTACTCTGTCAGACACTCCAGGATTCCTTGCAGGAAGGGCTTTCTCCAGGGATTATCTTAAAACAGACCTTACTGCCGACACAGCACTCCCCACCATATTAGCTTTCTGCTGAGCTCTGTGTTAGAAATTGCTGCTTTTTTCCACCATTGGCAATGTAGGCATTTCTTACCTCTTTCCAATTTAAAGACTGCAAAGAAAAATATATTATTTTAAATGTTATATGCAATTAGTAATGATTCACAGCTTTGAGCGAAAATGCATTGCACGTTTTTGCACTTTTACTGCATGCACAGTGCCTGTAGAATGTCTCCACACCCTTTCCAAAACAGCACATGAAATAAAAACACATTAAAGTAGAATTTATTTGACCTTTATTTGCACATTGTAACACACAACCTCCAAGAGGAAGATAAATGTTCTGAAAAGTAATTAAAAATGTATTCTATACTTGGAGGCAAATTACTGTAGACTTTCTATAGACACAGTGCATGCACATAAAAGACTGGAATTCCAGAGTGGAAAACAGAATCTTCTGTAGGTCAAGTCACTGGCTTTGATAAATTCACCTCTTTGGTGAATTGAAGGTTATTGATGACTTGTGTGGAACAAAGCAAACTAGCTGCATTAGGAAATGATTTCCTGCTCTATACCTTAAAGAAAGTTGTGAGTCTATTGTTTCTTTTGCATTTTTCCATCATTCCAATGGAATTGGATGAGATGGAGCCGTATGTCCAAACAGGTCATGGTCTATTGCTCCTTGGAGACGTGTTTCAGTTGGACATTCATCCATCACTAGTTATAAAGAAGTGCTCTTTCTTGGGAATAAGCGCTTCCTGTGGGAGAGGACAAGTCTACAGTTTTATTTTATGCTGTCTCAGAATCCATCAATAACATTTGGGCTATATATTGAAGTAGTGTAGCTGCTTATTCTATATTAAAATAATTCCTTCTATAATCAGTGCTCTCCTGGAAGGGCACATCAAGCAAATCAATACAGTTAGCAGAGAAGATTGCCCCTATTAATTAATAAGTGTTTCAGGGCCTCCTGTCTTGTTCATTCTTGACCTCTGAATGTTTATGGACACTCCCTTTGTAAAATCTATGCAAACCATCAATGCTAAGTGATGACAGCTTTTATTTTAGCAAAGTATTTTTTTACAGTGCTGTGGTACGCATGTGAATTACATCCTCTTTTTTAAGAGATTTTTTTTTGGTTGTGTGCATCTCTGGATGGCAACTTTGTGTGTGTTTCTATGGCATTGTTGGGGGCCTCTGCAGTTACAAATACAATAGCTTGCATGGAGGGTCACACCTGCTTGCTTTCATGAATCCCTTGTGTTAACTGCTTCTGCAGTGGCCTTTAGAACTTGGTTATGGTTCCAGCAATCCCACCCCACTCCTACAGCCTTAGAGCAACTGCTCAGGATGTTCTCCAGGGTTCCTGATTTGGAGCTCTTTTCACACCCTGGAGACTCGCCCCGGATGTACTAGTTGGATTTACTCAGGAGCAGATCGTACTCCCGATCAAGAACTTGAGTCGGTGGGGGTTCCACGCTACATGACTCAACCCAGGTGATCTTCCTTTCCATTGCCTGGTCCCATCCTGTCCAAGCTCCCTGCTGTCTCATCCCCACCATCCTGCTGGACCTTCCCTCCACAGTTACCCAGAGCATTAAAGCCAAGTGCACAAGCTTTAGAAAAAGGTATTAATTATTCAGGAGTTCTGTAGCAAAACATGCAAAAAATTAGAATCGGAATATGCAAAAAGCCTTTGCTTTATGACTTAATAAAAGATTACTGTTAAATAGGCTATACCCTGAAGAATGCTCAGCAATCACTTTAGTGGGGATTCTGAATGAAATGTGTTAGAAGTAGATTAAAACATAATTAAACTGTCTGCAGATAGTGGAGATATTTTTTGTTTTTTCACAATGTCTGCAATTATTAATCTATTAGATGAGCAGAAGTCGGGAAAAGTAGTTGCCATGTTTGTGTTTACGTATTTAAACAAAGTAATATGAACATGCAGTGCAGGGATGTTTTTTTTCCATCAACCTGACTGAATTCTCCGATGAGTTATTTAATGAATGAAGCAGAGAATTACTGTAGATTATCTTCATTGGAATCTTCACTGCATCACCTTTGTGACAGCTACTAGTCTCAGCCCTTAATATGTGTTGGCCCGTCTCCTGAAACAGAATGAATATGGCTTGATTGGGATCTGAACAGGTCATTATGCCTTTAAAATGTGCTTTGGTGTCTTAAACTGATGAAATAGTAAAGGTTTACTCTCTTGTCTAATAGCTTCAGATAACCTTCTGTCCCTGCAGGATGAAAATATAGCAATTAACTACTTACACTGGTGCCTTATCTGTAATCTGACAAGTCCTTTTCTTCATGTGATGACTTCATTAGAGGGATAATTAAACGATTCACTTATTTTGCATGTGTAGCAGAAAGCTTCTTATCCCCTTAAGAACAAAAGGAAATACCCAAAGCTTGTCAAATTTGCATAATTAAATTGGTGATGTTTTTATTTTCCACCACATTTTTACAGGCAGGTTTCTTTTTCCATTCTGAAACTGGGGGTGAGTAGGGAATACTGTTTGTCATTCCTCCGTTTTGCTTTGAAAACTTTTAATTTATTTGGGATACCAAACTTGTTCACCAATAACAGGGAAACCTAATAGATGCAACCTGAGGAAGCTCTGTAGTTCTGAAGTTTAAAACGCTGACATTTCTAATTGATAACATGCAGACAGCTGATTACTTTTTAATAATTCAAATAACTCCATTTCAATATATTCTGTAATATCCAGATGTTTTGTACATATAATACATCCCAACACTGCAATGAGTCATTCATACTGAGATTAAACCCCATCTGGTTTGTGAACCAGTCGATAAATGAGCTGAAACTAAATTTTCCTTATTTTGGCATAACGTCATCAGTTTAGGGTCATCATTTCCCTGAATGATGATCTCATTAGCCTCGGTTTCTCATGGGTAGAAATCTTTCCAGTGTCCGACACTTGCCTTCGGTTCTGCCTGTTTCTGTTCCATTAATCTGAGCTCATCAATGCAAAGTTACATTTTCTACTGGTGTTTAATACCAATTTTATGCCTTTCCCACTCTTCTCAGAAATCACCAGATCACTGAAAGTTACTATTTAATTCAGCATCATGACCGGCCTGTTGGATGGTCACTGCCTCAAGTGACTCATGAGGCCTAAGTACACAATCAAACCAACAAGGACAAGAAAAGCACTGACAACGTGACAGTCAGCTCTTCACCAGTTATCTAATTAATCAACAAATTCCCCACAGGTGGGCCTATTTACATGAAATAGAGGCCTGAGTGATCTCTACTGGCAGGTCATCTGAAACTACCAGCCAAATTACTGCTGGCCTGTTACGTCCATGTTTATGTATCATTAAACTGCAAATGACCAGGAGTCCTGCCAAGTCTCCATCTTACCTCTCTCCAGCTCTCCTGTTGTTTGAACACCAGCGAATCCTGTACCAGCAGGGTGAACCAGAAGACCAGCATTTAGCTATGAAAGAATTCTTACGACCAACGAGCAATTATACATAAACTGTTTTATATAAGGCTGTATCTAGGAGGAAAATTACAAAATGGTCCTTTGATTTAAGCTGTGAAAGTGTAAAATAACCCCATGAAAGTGAACATATGAGTTAATACTACTTCCATCCATTTATATACAACAACAGGAAAAGGCTGGCCAGTAATTTATTTAATAGATGTGAAACATTTATATGGTGGCATCTCTTATCATGGCTCTTAGGTCTGGGTTCAATTCCAGAATGCTGATCCTTCTTTGTAGAGTTTGCAGGTTCACCCCATGTCTGTTTGCAGGTTCACCCCATCTTCTGCCCCTGTCTAGCTGTGTATTTAAACTAGGTACAGGGGCAGATCACAGTATCTTGACATGTTGCCAGTGCTCTACATTTAAACCTGAAAGCCATGTTGCCTTGATAATCATAAAGAAGGGGACACATTAAGTTCCTCTTCCAGAGTGCGACACCCCCTAAGCACTGCAAGAGGCTCCCCGATTCCAAAATGGTTTCAGCCCGCCGTGTTGCTGACGCCACGCTCTTTTGTTTCGCAGAGTCCTGGGACCCGGGAAGAGGCCATGTACGATGGGGCGAAGGTGCCCTCTCCTCAGGAGAGTGCCAACGGGTTCTCCCAGCCCGGCGCGTCCGCCTCCTGGCCCAAACCGGAGGAGGAGGAGGCCCGCAAAGCGGAGCCGGTGCTGGCGAAGAAGGCTCACCGCGAGATCCTCGACCACGAGCGCAAGAGGAGGGTGGAGCTGAAATGCATGGAGCTGCAGGAGATGATGGAGGAGCAAGGGTGAGCTCTGGTTTCCTTCTTCAGCTGGCCTCGCCCTCCGCTGCTCTGGAACGTCAGGCAGCCAATGGCAGTAATAATCCCAAAGACCTGCGATCAGTGTGGATTTGATCACATTAGCTCTGTAGGAAATGGTTTAGCTAGAAAATAACATTTGCATGGTCTAGATAGGATCCATGTAAAACTTTAAGGATGTAAAGCCAAACTGGCATTACTGTCAAATACAGGCATTAATTGATGATGCGTTGCTGGAATGTTTTATTCAAAAGGGATCTTTTGCAGAATTGCCCTCAAAGGTTAGATTTTGTCAATTTTAACCATCATAACCTGAAACTTTCACCTTTCTGAGACAGATGAAATGTTTTCAGTTGGCTAAATAATTAGATCAATTACTACTACTGAGATGTTATATAGAAAAATCTGAAAACTGCAGCCTGTGAGAACCATATTTAATGCAACTCATCCCTTATAGTTGTCCTTACCCAAAAGTAAAAAGGGAGATACTTAAAGTATAAATAATAAAAAATACAAATATTTTTATTTCATAATAAACTATATTTTAAATTCTTTATTTTACTTTTCCATAGAGAAATACTATCTACCCATTACCCTTTTCCCTAATTAGTCAATTACTTTTAAATATTGCAAAGGCAGAGAATTTGCTGGAACTGAGAAATGAGAAATCGGTCATCTCTCATTTAATAATAGTAAAAAATAATTATCAGTAACTCTGTTTCAATTCATTAAGGTTGTTTCTTAAGGTTAAAACCTCACTGTTTAAAAGTTAGTATCGTAGTTGCATTACATTTTTGCTTTGAGCATTACTATTAGTCTGTCCTACGACACATCATATTATAAGTGAAAATCTAATTGAGCTTCGAGAAGCCAAAAGTAAAGAGATTTGTCTGTGTGCAATATCCTTGACCTATTTCTTGATGTCCCTAGTAATTTCTGATTTTGTGTATTAGACTGTCTTATAAAACATGGTATATTGACAGACAGCTTTTAAGGCTCTTTTTCAGGTGTCAGAACTGTAAGAAGTCATAAATCTTCCTGCTAATAAATCTACTATGAATCTGGAGGAAATGGCTGAGGCAAAAACTATTTGAAGGTTCCTCATCTCCGGGAGCCACATTTTTCACTTAGTGTGTTTCTGACAGACTGTGTTCCCGCAACATGGTCTCTGGAATTAAGAAGCATCTTTGCTCTAGCCTTAGTACACTGCAGGGGTTTTAGATGAAGAGGGAATTGGAGTCAGCTTTCTACATTCTGCCTGACAACATTCTTTTTTCAGAATGTAGCAACAGATCTTTTTACGAATATCTTGCATGCATCACTGTCTGTGTTCAATATATGACATTGTGAGAGCAGAGAGTCCTTAACCGGGCAAGCTTGCCAGCCTGTTGAGATCACAGGGTACAGTGTTTGCGTCGGGTCAAAACACTCGTAAACAGAATAATTGAGTTGGCATTGGTGCCAAATTGGGAAGTGTGGATTGCTTCCCGATGGAACAAGAAGAACACAGCTGCTGATTAGATTATAAGGGATCCTTACTTTAATTTCCATCTAAACTGGGTAGCTGTGGCCAAAACTGTGGTACTCAGGATTTTCAGATGTAGCAGTGGGATGACCTGTACTCCATCGATGCTTGGTTGCTTTTTCTAGTAGGTTATCTTTGCCAATAGACTTGTGAAAACTTAAATTAATGTATTCAAATTTGGTAAATCCGTGAGACTTAATACAGAAAGTTTGAAAATGTTCTACACTTGAAATAAAGGCAGCTGACAGAAACTCCTTTCTCAACACTCGGAAAGCATTTGGATCTTCTGAAAAATGTGATTGCAAAGTAATGATTCCTTGCCTAATAGTTCAATTTGTGGGCTCTGCATTGCATTTTAAGAAAACAGAAACAGATACTCATTCATCAAGCATAGGTAAAGTCATGTTAAATTAGGACACGTCTCAAAATGACTTTTCAACTTTTGCTACTGTAGCTGTGCAGTGTTGTTTTTAGAAGTATCCCACTGTGAGGTCTGCAAACAACCAAGAGTGAAGAAGAGGCATCAGATGAAATTAAATGGCTGGAGCCTTTTCATTTTAATGGAGTTAATAACTAACACATGGCCCAGAGTGAGGGCTACTGAGGCATTAGGGAGAGAGCCAAGTTGCAGCCCTCCTGTTGAAAATGGGAATTAATTGCCTACTGCATTCGATAGCTTCACCCTAGGAGCCAATTAAAAGACAGTGGCAATTAAAGGAATCTGCTCATTAGCTCTCTGAGGCCCGGCACTTCTGTGATTTACCACCTGGTTACTCAGACTGTAGCCATTAAATATATCCTCCACAGGCTGGTATTTCATAACATAGGTCCAAAAAGTGAAGGATGATAAGCAATAAATATGAGCACTGTCTGTTAAGACAGTGGGTGCAAGATTTTGCTTCTCATGAACCTTGTAACGTATCAGAGCAGGTACATTTGAATGCAGCGCTGTCTGGCTTTAAAGTAAAGGGAACAAGCTCCTGTGACACGTGTATGTAGGTCAAAATGGAAGAGTGCTTTCACCTACAGGAACCTCTATAATGCTTTTTAAAAATTCCCTGTCAAACAATGTATCCATTTCATCCCCTGTAGGAAGGTCAACAATGAATTCCTCTTGCTGCTTAGTTTAGTCACTGCTTCATATGACAGTGAATTAATATAAAACCTCCGCCTCAGTATTCCCTTCTTTTTAATACCCTTAAGAAGCTTTTCTCCACTGCAGTATATTGTGCCCTTAGCTAAATTAAAATATAACGGAAAGAAAACCCAGCCCAAATGTATCTGTACCATTAAAGAGAAAGTCAAGTTGTAATTAGAACCAGAAGATAGCCTTCAGTGTGCAGAGATGTTGTCGAGTATTCAATGGCTGTTTGTTTTGCATGGACACCATACAGACCAGTAGGTGTATAGAAATGGAATGGTGTGTAATTAGACCACAGGCTTTGCAACGCCAGCCCATTAGTAATTGTGAGAAGTGTTTATCCAAGGCTAACTACCTGCATGTTGAGTTCCCAGTCCTGGTCCTGGAGGACCACACACAGCTGCTGGTTTTCATTCCAGCTGAGCTTAATTACGTAATTGCAGCCTCAGCTGAACTAGCATGTTGCTTGACCTGAACTTTGGCACTTTCTCAAAAGTTTCAGCTCCAAAGGTGGGGAGTTTTTATTTTACTTATGGATTGCAGTTATTAAAAGGTGACCTTCAAAATATTTAAGAGCTGAAACAGTTTGAATTATTAAGTCAGTTGAGGGAGTTGTGGAATGAAACAAGTAGAATACTGTATTTGTCCTTGAACAGGATTGGGAATTCATTCAGACAATTTAACCATGTTGTCATAAAAAAGATTTGTTATGAATAGCTTGTCATAAAAAGCTCTTGATTTCCTTATTTACATATTTAATTATTTTTGCAGCAGTCCTCTTCTTCTCACAATTTGGCCTATGAAATGAGATTTTTATGCCACAAAGAAGGACATTCCAGATAAAACCTAAAGATGTTAAACCTAAAAGAAAAATGCAATTTAAATTAAACTGCAATATTACTGAATAGCCTTGCATTTGTGAAGTGTTCTTTTCCATGGTTGTTGAAAGAGGTTGTCATTTCTTTAGCAAGGTATGGTTTGCGAGAGACGAGCTCTAAATGAAACAGCTCTGTGAATGGTCACTGATTAGACAGACCTCATGGGCACTCCCTGCCAGCCCTGGCCGTGTTGGCTAACAGGAAGAGAGCAGCAGGAAGATTGTTCTGAAGTCAAGAAGCCATTTCGGAGAGGCTGGGATAATAGACATGTCCTCTTTCCCGGCCAGCCCTAGCAGAGTGCATAAGTAGATTATGTTGTGCTTTGGTGAAATGAAAGTGTTCTATTAAAAGAAACAAATATTTGACATGACACCCACACACACAATGTGTAGGCTTCGTGTAGGCAGGGAGTCGATTGAAAGTTGGTTTTCCTCTATTCTGTGCAACATAAGGAATATCGGATGGTTTCAGTGTGCTCTTTATCTTTTATTTTCAAATATACTCTGCTATTTGTTCTCTGAAACATACACTGTATAGAGAAAAGGCTATGGTTGCCTACATCAGAATTAAGAATTCATTTAAATGTATTTAACTAGTATCGAGCCACAGTTTAACTATTTATTTGTTTCCCTCCAAAACAGTTCATTTTTTTTAGTATCACATTGCTAAATGTTTTCCTCAGAACAATTTCAGGATGGGAGGATGAAATGAATGTCACAATCTGTTGTAGATTGACTTCTTTGAGCTGCTGAATATTCTATTTAAATGCAAATGTGGAATCTGAGGACTAAACAGCTTCACATAACATTTGCACTTTCCTTCTTTGCCCCTTTCTGTGTGTATACTTGCTGTTTTTGTGAATTCGGTCCATGGGCTCCTGGGAACCAAGTACCGAGCTTCATTGTACCAGTACGATACCAGTCTCACCCATTGTCTGTTTTCGCTGTGGAAGCGTGGCAGGTTGAACATCAGTTCCTGCATCCATTTTCTGAACACTTCATCCAATTCAGGGTCATGGGGGAGCTGGATCTTATCTGGGTGCAAGATGGGGTACACCCTGGATGGGATGACTGTCCGTTGCAGGGCAAACATCAACAAGAGGGCGAATTTTCTCAGAAGCAAATTACCCTACCCGTATGTCTTTGTACTGTGGAAGGAAACCAGACCATCCAGAAAAACCCACACGAATATGAGGAGATCATACAAACTCCATGCAGAAAGCACCCCAGGTCTGCAATTGAACCCAGGTCCCCAGTGCTGCAAGGCAGCAATCAATCACTGTGCAACCATGCTCACCAGCTTCCATGTTCTCTCATTTAATTCCAATCAAGTGGTGGGAAAGTAGCATACTTCTACCTACTGTGCATTTTTGCTGGGATATCAGAAAGAAAGAGAAAACATTTTCTTTTGTTCCAGGTTTCCGTGTTTCAAGTTCTAGGGTTTT